TCACCTCACTCACCTCACTCACCTCACTCACCTCACTCACCTCACTCACCTCACTCACCTCACTCACCTCACTCACCTCACTCACCTCACTCACCTCGCTCACCTCGCTCCACTCACTCACCTCACTCACCTCACTCACCTCACTCCACTCACTCCACTCACTCCACTCACTCCACTCACTCCACTCACTCACTCACTCACTCACTCCACTCACTCACTCACTCACCCACTCACTCACTCACTCCACTCACTCACTCACCCACGCACTCACTCACTCACTCACTCACTCACTCACTCGCTCACTCACTCACTCACTCACTCCACTCACTCACTCCACTCACTCACTCCACTCACTCCACTCACTCACTCACTCACTCACTCACTCACTCACTCACTCACTCCACTCACTCCACTCACTCCACTCACTCACTCCACTCACTCACTCACTCCACTCACTCACTCCACTTTGCATCCTGCTAGCACTGCCCGCCGTGGTGGGGATAAGACCACTTGATAGCTTTGATGGTGGTTTCGAGTGTGTTACGTTTTGAAGGTCTCATGCGGATCTGATCGCAAAATCCAGAGCCTCCAAACTTCTCTCTCCGCCTCCTTCTCTCTCTCTCTCTCGTTCCTCTCATCCTTGTTCATCACACCATCAGACACTTTATCACACACCCACACACACACACACACGCACGCCATCTTACCACACACACACACACCTCCTCCCTCCCCTCCTTCTCATCCTCGTCCATCACATCATCATACTACACGTCTTAGCACAACCGCCTCATATACCTTCTCTCCTCACACTTCGTTCTTGACTTTTCATCTCACTACTCCGTCTCCCATGTGATGTTCATATACATTTGAAATTTGTAAAACTTATCATGTGGGGTTATCCGGTCCTTTTATTGTTTATTTTTTGGAATCGACTAGTAGTTGACCCCTCTCTCACCAACCTCCCACGAGATACCCGTGGATGACTCCAAGCTAAAAGCGGGCAACCCGACAATTCGCCATCCCCTTCAGACCAACTATCTAGATCTTTTCGCCACACCTCATCACCTCTCCCTTCCCCTCGGCTGCTCGTCTTTTGCGGTGGGATGGCGCCCAGGTGAACATGAGATCCTCACTTCCAGAGATGCACAAAGCCCGAGGCACACGCAGGCGAGCCCGGGTGTGCTCGTCTTGGGGTCTGGCTCGAGCCAGCGGCGAAAGCCCTTTTTGCGCGGTGGCAGGTACATCGATGGACCCTTTATTAAAGGGAAGGTCGATTCCTGACGACTGAACACACGGATTCACTTCATTCTTTCTTTGTAATCCTTCTTGGTACTCGTAGGAAGCTGATCCTGAAAACTTCGTTCTCGTGAATGAGAATTAATGTCTTCTTGACGCCAAAGATTGGACGTTGCTTGCGCAAGACTTCCATCAAGCACGATCGTGCTCTTTATCTCAAGTGGTTCAAGGGTCCAGTGGTTTCTCGGGAAACCACTGCTCGTCCACTGGAGGAAGTCGGCCCACAACTTTCGTCCCTGGTCCCTACAAGTTCGCCTGAGCCGAACCCAAGCCACGCAGCCAGGCGCGCTGCGCTTGGGCCTGCAGAGGCTCTCTTTGGTGGGCAGAATCACGGCTATGGAGCCTTCTGAGAGCGGGTTCTGCGCGATCGCACGCGTTTTCGCACGCCGCCTCACGTCCGAAAAGAGCCGGTGATGGTCAGCCTGGGTGTGCTTTCCAAAGGGCAGCTTGCAGTTTTCAGGGCTACAAATGTAGTTGTCCATGTCAGTGGCACAAACGGCTTGGCTTCAGTTATGGGTCGACAGCCTGCAGTACACCGCAAATCTTAGCACTGTGGTTGCAAAAAGCAGTCTAACCCAACTTCTTAGGCATCAAAAGCCGAATCCAAAGCCTCCAGAGTTCCGTCGTTTTTCGCATGGGTTGCCGAACCGGGGGAACCTTCCATCGTGTCTCGCACCTCTCTTCATCGTGTCGGCCTTGAGGCACTTCGAGGAGTCTCTGACCTGCTCGGCCGCAGGCGGAGAAGTCCGGAAGTCTTCGGGACCAGAAAACCCAGCGAAGCACAGGGTGGGTGCCGAGGCCCGGGAGAAATTCAGTCTTCTATGAGCACTGCAGATGTTTGAGACAAGCTGGAGTGGTTGATCTTGGTCATCAAGTTCTTGAACCTCCTGGTACGTGTGGGTTGGCTTTTCAGACCAGCCCACTGGCAGGAGGTGTGGGCAGCCCCTCAAACAGGGGCCCTGGTCCTCCCCAGCTCGGACGAAAGCGCGGAGAGTTGATCGCTCCGCGGACCGCAGGGTGTGGCGAGAAGGCCCACATGTTCATCCGAAGTCTGTGAGAAGGCCCCCCCAAAACACGCTCCATGTTGGAATGAGATGCACCCCTGCAATGATACGACCCCTGCCAAGGGGTATTTCAGAAAAGGAAAGGCAGGTGGAGGGAAAGCTCAAAAAGACATGGTGAATTCTCAGATTGCCGAAAGGTCTTTCGTTGCGAGTGACACTTCCTGAGAAGCGAGCGTCGCTTGTTTTGCAGGAAAGCTCTACGTTCTGCAGCTGAAGCACTTGCTAATGATGCTCTCAGCAGCCCAGCATCTTGGAACGCATCCTGCATGTGCAGGTGGCCCATGTGTGGAAAACACATCCTGCCTTTGTTTCTACTAGCGTTCTTGTTCCTAGTAGTAAGGCCCTTGCTCCTAGTAGCGATGCCCTTTGCTCCTAGTAGCGAAAAAGCTCTTAATATTTTGTAGACAAACATGTTGGATTAATTCTTTTTCACAGGCCATCCACTTCATCCTCCGTCGGTTTGGGTTGGATTCGGCGCGCTTGTTGACTCAGAAAAACGACGCTAACAGGCTACAGATCCTGTAGATCTCTGCACAGGCGACCGGTCGCCTGGACCCATTTCATCCTCCGCCGAGGCAGGAAGCCCTGACCCGCGCGGCACAGCAAGAACGCAGGCACCGACCCGCGCAGCCGGCACCGGCGTTGGGTGGGGCCGGGTCGGTGCGTGTCGGATAAAGGGCGGGTGAAGAAGAAGCTCGGATTGGTTGGTGAAAATATGGCGTGAAGTCCCCTGTTCTTTGATTGTTAACATGGGTTCACAACATTGCTCTTTGGTTATGAACTCCAGTCCTTCCCTCATTTTTTGTATTATTTTGGAGTTCCTTTTCTTTATTGGGACTGCACAAACTGGACAGGTGAATCTTGGGGTAACTACAACAAACCCCTCCAGAGAAATCCTTTCCTTCATTCTGGCGTCGCGTATGTATTGGGCGCCCTCCGGGCTGGGCGGGTTGCACTATGCAGGTTTCACTGGGCACGTGCAAGCTTGATGAGGGCCATGAACAGACGCCCAGCAAGGCCACGGGGGGTGGTTTTGTTAAGCACGGGAGGTGGGAGGAGGTTTCGGTTTGAACGCACGGGAGTTTGTTGTTTTCTTTTTTTTCTCACCTCCAATCCTTTTCATACTCGGCGCAGGTTTCTTCGCTTGGGGGGATGGGCAAAGGATCAAAATGGGCAAAAGGTGCAGGATTGATCAATGAGCAGACCTGCCTACAGGTTCGGGGTAGTTGAATTAAGTTGTACAACGGGGTCGAAGCAGCCAACTGCCCAGAACCCTGGGGTTTAGAGAACGGATGCACGGAAGTGTCCGAGCGCAAAGGGCGGCGGAGTTTCAAGAGCTCCCCATTTTTCCCTATGCCATTTTCAGCCCTCACAGTCGCAGATGGTCTTGTGGATCTCCCATGAAAACAGCCATTGAAAACAACACTATGCCCCTCTCTTCCAAGAGACTCAGTGATATCTCAAGGCCCATCGCAGGGCCCCAAATTCTCCTTGTGCCGGTACTGAGGCAACTCTATGCCGTTGGGGGCCGCCTGGCGGCTTTGGGCGAGGAGCTGCGGGCGCTGGCCCAGGCAGCGCAGCTGATTCTTTCCGCACAAAAAGCTCGAGCGACCAAGAAGTCCCGACAAAGCCCCAGCGGGTTCCAAATCGGCACACGAGGATCTCCACATCGGCTTGTTCTGGAAGACATCTTGGGTCAACAGCTTTTGTGGGTCTCTCACTGGGGTTTTCCACTTCATCTTGACCCATGAGAAGTAACGTTGGATACAGCAGATGATTATTGAATGTATCGAAATGGCGAGACCCTCCAACGCCCGAGTAAAGATCGATCAAGGCCTGTTGGTCTCGAAATGGTCTACATGAAAGCTCTTCTGGCACTTCGAAGATCTCACTGTTCTCACGTCGACTCGCACAGGGCGGGGATCCAGAGGCAGGGCGGGTCAGGGGGCACTGAGGGCCATGAAAGCATGCAGCAAGTAGAAAGAGAGCCGAGCCGAGCATGGTCGACCCGATAAAAGGTTGCTTTTTGGTGAAGAACCGAATTGGATGGAGGAGATGGAGAACAGAAATGACAAGAATATGGTTGTTGTCGCAATCGCTTTGCATGCGTTTTGTATTCGTTGTGTTTGCTGATGGCATTTGGTTTGAGTAGCCGCCATCCTAAACACCTGCTTGGTGTTGCATCTCTTTGCCCTGGCACTTTGAAATGTGGCCTTTTGCCTCAACCTTATTGCTGGAGTGGCATAAGCACCACAACACCTGGACCGTCGGTCGGACCCAAGACACCTACCCAGTCAAAGAGTCCTTTGAGAAGGGAGTCTCCAGGTCAGGTGGGTGATGATTTTCACACTTTCATGCTGGTTTTCAGTGAAGATAGGATGCGATGCTTTCCGCACCAAAGTACCCTTTGGGATGGGATGTCTTTGGACACCTGGGCCACACGACTCAGAGAAGTTCAGAGTTGATTCGTAGATGCACCTGGTTGGTCTAAGTTTGGTTGGTGGTATACAGTTGATTGTATTTTTTGTCACTGCTTGTCTCCATCGACCTGGTTGACCGTGGCTTGTCTTGAAAGACCTTGATGTGTTGATGCCCGTTGGTGAGAAGAGTATCTGAACATCTGTCATGCACTGAATCCTATGAGAGGATTGCATGATCCCTGCCCCTCCTCTCTACAGGTCACACGTCTCCTCTCAGCTTGCTGGTCCGCAGCTAAGAGCCCGAAGAGCAGACCGATGAGAGCATAGGTGACACCTCGACAGCCGACTTGCAAGCTTGAATGCGAACACATGTGGGTGCGAGGACATGATATACCTCGTGCACATCTTTAGATCATACATCGCCAGACTTCTTTTCCACAAAACCCTGCCTACATCTCAACAAACATTCCTTTGGTGGTCGCCACCGCGCAAGCGCGACTGCTTGGATATCAGACATCGGCTCACTCCTTCGAGGTCCGCTGAATCCTTGGAGCGGAATCCGCGGAATCGACCGCTTCACACGACCGCCGCACGGGAGAAGGCGGCAAAGTGTTCGGGCACGTTTTGGGGCTGCGAAGTGTTTGGGCGCAGCTTTCAAAGATGGTTGCTTGAAGGAATTGATTGTGTGCTCAAAAGGACATGCGATGCGTCAGGTGCAAGAGTTCTTTCGGGCAGTGATTTGTCAACATATATATATATATATACATAATTAGACACATAGATCGACACATATGACATCATCTGCAACATCTGAGAAAAAAACCACTCCTAGACCGAAGACATTTTTTCACTCTTGGGATTTGCATCAAGAGGCAGGCAAACAACCCGCAAGCTGCTGCCTTCAGCAGCTCACTCTTTTTCTCCTCTGATGCTTCTGCCGGTTAGGGGTATCTCGTCGAAGAAAAAAAGGAATTGTACAGTGGAGACTGGACAAGTGTTTGGTGAATCTGAGCTCAGATGGTCCGAACATGTGCTCATTTGGGCTGGGTGCTCTATTTTTGGACATGCTGAGAATTCCTTGGAGCTTTTGCCCCTCCACTGTACTTGTACATACTTTCAGGCTTCTCGCCCCCAAGATTATCCTGCATTCTAGCATGTTGCATCCTTAGTGCCAACTAACTTCCCTGAACCTCCAGAAAAGATTCATTTCTACGAAGTTAGTTCACACGTTCATGTTCAACCTGGTGCAACTTGCCGAACCTTTTGTTTTTCACGGGCACTTCGCTGGGGGCTCGGGCGGCGCAGATTCCACCACTGGAGCCGGACCTTAGCCGAGTCCCACAAGAAGAGGTGCCAAAGACGTCGCTTGGAGTGGAAATTTGGGGATCGGACTTGGGTCGACTGACAGGTTGGGAAGAAGCAACTCATTTGTGGCCCACATCAGTCACCTAATAATCACCCAATTCTTCCAAATAATCCCGCAAGTTATTTACATAATAATTTTCAACATCGATGATCTCGATGGGCCTACACTGGGATGGGAGCATGGAATGGTCGAGCACTTTGAGCAAGGCTGCAACTTTTGTTGCGCTGCCTAAGGCTGCAACATGATCTTGCCCAAAAGCAGTGGTCGTGGATGGTCGTGGCAATTGACAGCAAGCACGGTGTGTCTATAGTGTCTCAATTTCTATACTGGACTGCCGTATCGATATGGCAGTCCCTTCGCGTTGGTTCCCTTTGAGGAATGCAGGCACGGCACGGTGCCCCCCATGGCCGAACCACCGGCATGGGCCGTGGTGGCTTGGCCGGTGCCTGACTCGACGTTGTTCGACATGGAGACCGAACCCCTTTGACAGGCATGGCTCCTCAAGCACGCGCTGCTGGATTTTGGATACATGATACACCGCCATGGCAGTTTCAAGGTGATGCGCAATAAGGGCATTGGATCAAGGGTTGGAGGTGGATGGCCCATGGCTCTTCCATGCTCTTCCTGCAGGCAAGTCTTGTTGTACTACTACAGTGTACTTACATGCCTAGAATAACCTGAATGACCTATCTTGGACCACCAACCACCCCAAGTATGGCCCTTTCCCATGAAAAGAGGTCATGTGTGGGTTATTCTAGGGTCGTTTGTGTGCATCTTCGGCGCCGGCGTACTTGTGCCGACCATGATCCTTCCACGGGATCAGGTCTTACGAACATGCTTTCCGACAGACCGACGAGTCCAACATCGTAGGTGCAAGAAGATCGCTGAACAAGGCTCTTGAAACCTCCTGCCGGAATGCTGCTGGCCAGATGCGTCTGGCCTGTTCCTTGGAAATCATCTTTATCCATTTCCTTGCGTTGGCAGGGGAACATCATCGCCCCAGGACCCTTTTTGATATTCATTTTTTGGACAGGCCTACACACATATAATACAATCTACAAACAAATTATATAGCTTGCCAAGCGTTCCATGCCCAGGTCAGTTCAGTCCCGGAAGCCGAACGACCCACTTGCCCATCAGGGTTCTCCGGCGGCCTCAAACTGCAGAGGTCACCCGCCTCTCTCGCGCCTCCCTCGGGCGTCCGAGCGATGGCCGTCTGAGGCGCCTGCATTCCTCGCTGCTGGAGCTGTGGTCCTCAGACGTTTTGGCCGACCGCCAAAGCCAGCGGTCGGGGCAGCAGATCGGAGCAGCTCGGCGATGATGAGCGTATACTGCATGCGCTCCCATGATAGAGCCCCTGGAACACACCGGGTGTTAGATCTTCGCGCATTTTGCATATTTTGATTGCGCAGGCTCGGGCAAATGGTTGTCCCGAGCAGGTGCTTTCCTCAACTGAGCTCTCGTTGTGGTGGCGAGTGCATTTTTGGACTGGTGATCACTTTTCGTGGCAGGTGCAAGGGAACGCTTGTTGTGTTTCGGTGGTAAGAAGTCGAATCAGATCGGCAGTTGTACTTCGATGTGTAGATCTCCTAGCAGGCGCAGCACTTTGGACTTGGTGGTGGTTTTTGGCGTGCTCTGATTTTGTGCGGTGAATCGCGCACTTGGCTAGTTTTTGAAATTTGGGAGAAGGACTACGCGGAAACTTTCTGTGGAAGACCCTTTGCTGTGAAGGTCAGATTGCGTGGCAGGCGCATCACTTTGTGAACATCGCTGTGCAGCTTTGTGAACATTGAACTGCCAATTTCACCTGCAGCTTTCGCGGTGGTTGCAGCGCTTTGTTAACCTCAAGGTGCACATTTTGTGGCAGTAGATTTCGAGGCAGGCGCAGCACTTTGTGGACTGCAGATTTTGTGACAGGCTCTCACATGAGCACTCTCATATGTATGCTCTGTCAAATCAGTGCCCTCACATGTGTGCTGTCATGGGTATGTTTTCATGCGTGTGTTCTCATATGTATGCGCTGATATGTTTGCTTTCATACCGGCTTGCGTGCTCTCATGTGTGTGCTGTCAGATGTCTGGTGCCATGTGTGTGTGTGTGCTCGTACCTTGTGATCTCACATGTGTGGTTTCATATGTGTGCTCTCTCTCTCTCTCATATGTGTGCCCTCATGTGTTTTCTGCCATATGGCCATATGCGTGCTCTGACATGTGTGCATTCACTACACTGGGGTGCCAAAAGTTGCGCTTCTTGACTTCTAAAACATCACAAACCCTTTCCCCTTAGAATCCTACGTGCAACATGTCGACACCTCAGTTGCGGTCAGATTTCCACACCTGAAAGCCTCACAAATATTGTAAATTTAAACGGGTGTGGAAATCTGACCGTGCTGTACCTGCCACGCAAAATGGACGTGTTAATCCGATCCGCTGTAGACCGCAAGTGTCATGTTGGAACAGAGTAAGAAGCGTAAACTTTAGGGTTCTTGAAGTAGTGTGCTATGACACCTGCAGCCCCAATGTGCACGGGGAAGGATCGCTCCAGTAAATTGAGCACACTGCTGTTGTTCTACTGAGCACTCTTTAGGGTGTGTTGCCGGGATACTTTAGTTTGTAAGTTCACCCAACAACTTGTGCTGAGGTCCTTCATGGCTTTGGCCCGGCTGTTCAGGCTCGGCTGTGGCATCGGTGGTGGGCAGTCAGAGTGTAGATGGGGCGTCTGTCATTGTTTGGAACCATCATGACCAACCATTTACACTGAGATTGTGGCAGAAAACAATTGTGGAAAGGCGGGGTTGTTCTAAGATTGTGGCAGTTCAGTTTTTTTACACCAACACTTCCGGAAAACATCACTATACTGTTATTCTTTCCTATATTGGAGGGGTGTCAACATCACCCATTGGTGGATTAAATGCTTTAATAGACATGGGTTCCTTCATGTCACGACTTGTTCCTTGGACGAAGGAGTTGGGCGCTCACTTGCCCCCTGCCTTCCGCGCCGTGAGGCCAACCGTTTCAGGACGCAATTCTTTAAGGCTCGAAGGGTCGGAACGAGATCGGATGAGGCGTTGGGCCTCCCTGCAAAGGGACGCCCAGATGAAGTCAATTCCGTGGCGCATTCTCCAGAATCTCATGTTGTCTTCTGATGTTTAGTCTTTGTTTTTGTAAGTTGTGCCTTGGTATCAGATTGTTGCAAGGAGGAACAACCTGTTTTTTCTAGAGTTTTTTGGGGGCCGGTCTTGCCAACCCAGGGAGGCGTGGCACTTTCAGGCGATCTGCGAAGGAAGAAGGTCTCAGATTGACACCCGAGTGCTGCAGTGCCAACATGTGCCATCAGGAGGGATGAACCGGGATGGAGTTCTCTCATGGTTCCACAAAAACATTAGCTTCATTCATGGAGTTCTCAGATCTGCGTCAAATGACAGATTTTGGACCGACAGTTTAGAAGAACAGTCCCTATGTGAGAGAATGGCGCAGGGGTTTTGGTCTGCCAGGTTCCGACCGGGTTGGGGGCGCCCAAGTTGGCGCTGGCGCATGGCGCCCGCTACGGAATCGACTAGGAGACCTGGGGGTGTGGATGTGTATGGTGTCTTGTGAAAAGGGAGACCCCACAGAGATTTAACTTGTTGGTGTATGATCCGCACCCATGGATTGAGCTGAGTATTCTGCAAAGATCCCAGGTGCTACTTGTACAGGAATTTGTTGCAGCCAGCTTACAGTCACTGGACCTCACATCCCCAACTTGTCTACCTTCACGATTACAGGTGCATCACGTGTATCCGCACATGTTCTACCCACCATCATCTGGGAACTGAAGGGATTTTACTCATATTACTACTATTATCATCTTCAATATTTTCGTTACTTATTTGTTTCCTTTCGAGAGATTGCCCAAGCAGTGGTCTATTCTCCCGACGCTTCCTCAATGGTCGGTCCTTTCCGGTGGTCGGTCTCCCACGGAGAGGGGACGGCCCAGCGCTTCGTCTTCGCTCGGTCGGTTTCAAACCTCCAAACACCCGGGTGGTTGGGTGGGTGGTTGACTAGATGGATTGCGCGGCATCTTGATCTGGTCAAGCGCGTGACCCGGTGGTTTTAGGCCCTGATCGGGTGGTTTTAGGTGGTAAAAAAGGAGCTGACCCGGTGTGAGTGTGGCCCCTTTCATCCAAGCGACTTCCCACCCAGGCCCTGGTCGCACGCGAGGCTGAAGGCCTCGGCCACGGAGCCAGCGCCTCTCGGCAGTGTCACCTATGTGCAGGGGATTGGAATTGCAGTGGATCACCCTGCAGTGTACATCATACAACCAACTACACAGCCCGTTTTCAGTGGGTGAAGGGGGAGGTTTCCTCACTCCAAAGGAACAGATGGTTTCCGTTCTTTTTGCAACTTTTTATGTTTCCAGGGATCGGTCCGGGTGTTGGTGGAGAAGCACATGGCGCACTTGTGTGCACCACAGGGCCTTGGTCCAACCTGCAGGAAAAAGCACTAGAAGGGCAAACTAAAATCTTTGTACGCCGCAAAGTGGTGGTCTTCGGTCAACTTTGTTTGGATAGAGGCCACCCTGTCCCAAGTGGAGTGTTTAGATGTGCTAGGGCCCACACTTTGAATAGTAGGGATGGTCATGAAAAGGACCTTTGCACAAACCAATAGCCAAGGAAAGGAGGATCATTCTGCACAGAAGTTTTGAATAGTTTTGACCCGTAGAGCATATGGAGTCGGAGCATCGTGTTGATGGAATTTATGTTCCAGATTTGGCGCCAAAGCCCATAGAAATCCGGTGGTTTGTCATGTTTTCTTGTACAATCCTAGGGCCCAGCTCTATTTCCTCTTGGTGCAGGATGCCTCTATGCTATAGAACTTTAATATGGAGGAGCATGTTCAGCCAAGGCTCCGGAAGCAAAAGTCGATGAAGGCCTTATCGGGAGGCAGGGATGTCGGAATCCACACGAGCAGCGACTGCGTTGCACAGTGCCAATGGTTGAAGAGAGCGGAGGGCGGAGCAGGTCATTCCATCGTTTGGTACAAAGGTAGACCATTTTGAACGTTTTTTTGGTTCATCGAATGTACTATTTTTACAACACGATTGGATCGAACTAAGGGTATCGGTATGGAGTTTGGGGTGAAAGCACATCGATGCTCTTCATTTCATAGTCATATCGTTTTGTTGTCTCGTCCTCCCGCCGCCGTCCATCTCGATCGAGAGGGACTTTTGAGAGAATGAGTTTGGGGAGGGGACTCCAGATGGCTTAAGAGGAGTTATGATTGATGGATTGGTTATATAAAGGGAAATCCCTGGAAACCCATGGTCTTTGCTCCAAAACTATGGGGTTTCCCGTCGATTTTCCCGTAAACCAATTCTGGCATATGAAGCATCAGCCAGGTCAACCATTGATTCAGTCCAGCCTTCTGAAAGCCTGCGAAACAGTCGCCTTTTCTCAGGAGACGAAGAGCCAGAAGTGGGGCATCCTCAGTTCATCCTTGGTGCGAATTTCAGAACAGCAACAGGGACAAAAAGCATCCATCCACCTGACAGGGTACTGGCCAAGATACTACTTTGCGTGATGTTTTTGCTCCCGTTTCCTGGATTCTACACCATGAATTGAATCCTTTGAGGTCGTGAATCAAGATGGCACCTCGCCCGGAAAATAACCAGGTTTTTTGAGTTCAGCACGGGGAATTGGGTCAAGAACTGTAAATGGTGCAAGCTTTTTCATTACGTTTCCCCATGTGGTTGGGTCCGATCGCGCCCTCGGATCTAGAGGGCTATTACTGGAGAGCGGCAAGCAAACTGACCCACATCCATGCTCGTATTATATTGAGTACAGGCTCTTTGAGAAATACTGTAAGAAAAGCTGACTATCTCCAGGGGCATTAACTGGACCAAAGGTCCTCGACCAAAGAAACAGCTTCACAGTCCTTCAAGTGTCCCCACGCCATGCCTAGCCTAATTGAGCACTCCATGGGATCTGACTAAGCTACCAAGCTCTTTTTCATACTTCCTCCTAGTAGCGATGCCCTTTGTTCCTAGTAGCGTCCTTGCTGCTAG